TATTTCCCAACCAATTCTTCAATGTAGCATGGGAAGACTCAACTCGTTTAGTTTTTGTATTTTCAAGGTGTCTAACCTAATCGGTCCAAGCACAAATAATTTTCTCCTTCACCTGGTCAAGAATTGTCCTTTCAACATATTTCAATAAATCAGAATATTTTTCGCACACTTTCCTGAAATGCATAACAAAATTGCATATAACTCTAGTGAAAGAATTTACTATACCATTCCATGCATCCACTATTTTTCCACAACCACACCACCTTCACCATTTTCCATCTTCAGACTTTATCTATTTCGTTTCGTCCCTACCGCAAGTTTAACTCGAATTCTCACATTCTCTATTATGTGATACCTACAAAGTAATATATAAGAAGTAGGAAATACATTTGTAACTAAATTCATTAAGGCGGTATCACGGTCAGTAACAATCACTTTAGGCATCTCCTCTTATCCGATACATCTATAAGACTCCAAGGCCCAATAACATTCTCATCTTTTTTGCTCTTTAAAAATGTAAACCCCATAAAATAGGTCTTCTCAGTAGACTTAACATCAACCATCTCCAATAATGGAAGTTTGTACTTCTTGGTCTTGTATGTTGAATCAATTATGAGCACACTAGAAAATGTGTTGAACAACTTGATGGAATCAGGATATGTCCAAAATATATCTCTAATGGTAACTCCATGCTTGCACGTTCGGTACCTAGACACATAATTGTTATCATCCAACAGTTTTAAGAGTTTTTGTTGTAACACCCCAAATTTAATTGGAATATTTTAATTAATTTACTTAATTGAGAATATTCGTATTTTGGCGGTTTTCGGTGGTTTTGTGGATTATTGGGAATTATGCATTTTTGGATTATTCATTTAATTAATAGTATACAATATGGAAATACTAGTATTATTATTAGTTAAAATAAATATAAGTGAAATAAGGGTAATTTGGGCATTAAGAAGAGTTAGTAAGGGTGTTATGGGAAAAGCTCAATTGTGTGACCCAAGACTAGGTTTGACAAAAACGAATTCTGAAGGGAATCAAGATTCATTTTTTTAACCATAAAAATTATTGAGGCCAGAGCTTTGAGGAGAAGATTGGAGGCAGAAGCTCCGAGAGATTCCCTGAAAGATTGAGAAGGCTTTGATCGACAATTAAGGTATGGGGAGTATTGCCTTTCATGATTTTCCATGTGTAAATTCAACGTATTTAAGGCCGATTTAAGGGTTTAAGAGTTTTGAGACGAATAATGAGAAAAAAAGGATTTTTGGCCTCTGGGGCCTAATTCGATTATTGAGAATTTTAACCGTAGGGATTTATTTGGAAAAAAGGGAAACTAGGCCTTCATGGCCAAGAACTATGATTTGACATTGGTCTAACCCGTAGGGAAATTTGATAGTGAGAACTTTGATGATTGTGGGTAGTGGTAAGTATTCCTGTCAGTTAGAGCACAAATATGAGAAATAGTGATCTTTGGCCTTTGTGGCCTAAACCTGTTATTGTGAATCCAACTGTGAGTTCAATGGGGAAAAAGGGAAAATTAGACCTTCGTGGCCAAACCTTGAATTGTTATAAGTCTGACCCTGAAGGGATAGAAATATTGGATAGGGAGTAATCCTAATGAGTAGGGTGTAATTGAAGGAAAATTTGTGATTTAGGGAGTGAGTATGTTACGGGATTGGCCTAGTAAACCGTAGGTTTTGTGCCTTTATCGCCGTAAGACCTTAGGGATGATTTAGGGATGTTTTTGGGGGGCATTGGGGAAGTGAATCGTAGAGCCTTTTGAGTGATTTTAGGTTCTGGTGCCTAGCAGAATTTGCTGTCATCGCACAATTCGCCTAGCGAAGAAAGCTTCGCCTAGCGAACAATGTATTCCCAGACTCGCATAGCGAAGAATCCTTCTCCTAGCGAAGAAAATCGCCCCAGACTCACCTAGCAAACATGCCAGTGAATTATGATGAATTATGATGACATGATGTATGATGATGATTATTATGATGAGCTATGATGACATGATGTATGAAGATGATTACTATGATGAGTTATGATGACATGACGTACGATGATGGTTATGATGATGAGCTATGATGTTTGATGATGATGAATATGATGAATGATGATGCACCTATGATGTTATAATGAGGATCATTTGTGACGTGTGCATCATGCATTCACGTGCATCCGGACTTCGGTTCAGGACCTCGATTACTTTGGCTTCAATCCCATTGTGTGGATGTGAAGTGTTTTGATGTGCTCCGGTTCACTAGTATAATCGATCCTATTAATGGAGATCTATTCAGGGTTGATGGCCCAGTGTCCATCGCGCTGTGATGATTGGTACCACATGTGTTGAGTCTTGTTGCATTGCATTTATGAGTCTTTTTGTATGAATTATGATGTTGTGGCCTTTGAGGCCTATTGAAGGATATGAATGGGTTGAATATGAAAATGACGTCGTCTTATATATTGATTTTTATACATTGATTATTATGAATTGTTTTACTCACCCTGCCTGTTTGAATGTTACCTCCACGTGGGTAACGTGCAGATGACCAGGTTTAGCCGTGGACGTCGTCGAGGGTATTTTTGAAGTCTTTGAGTTGTTAGCCTTTTTGGTTAGCTTAGAGGGTCTTGCTCTGATATGTAACATTGGGTTGGGTTCTTTTGAGTTAAACTATATCCTGTTAAGTTATTTTGCTTACCTTTTCGTATGAGGAAAACCTTGATTTATGCCTTTGAGTTCCGCTGTTTTGTGCAATATGATGTATTTTGAGAAAACCCGTTGTTTACGGAGCCTTGACCTATTTTGAGGATTTGAGAAATGTACGCCCTTTTGAGGTGGCTTTTATTGAGTTAATATTTACTCTGATTTATTTGAATAAATGTGTCTTTTAATTGTGGGGTAGAAAAGGGTGTTACAGTTGCATTTCAGTTCTATCCCCCCACCAGCGCCTTTGGTACCGAATATTGTACGCTTGCTTGATATTAGAGATATTTTCGAGTCTTTTACGTTTCAAAATTGCAAGTACATTTTCCGGTTGAACAAAATTCAATGTCATGTCAGCAACACATTCCTTCTCTTCCCGCAAGAGATTACACACAATTGGATGATCGACTAACTTTTCACACAAGACATGGTTATACAAACCACATATGACATTAAATCTTCATTTACTGTTTGCCAACATATAACCACGCAATTTAAAGTGGCACTCACATTTTCTTGAACCGGTCTTGCCTCATTAAAAATTCTGGAGAGAAGTCTATATTTCCCGCTTCTTTCGCACGTTATCGTCACAAAATCACATCTTCTATTTACATCACCATTGGACCTTCCGATTACCACACCAAATTCTAGTTTGGAAGCCTCTGTACGAATCCATTGAAACACGTTATCATGAAATTCAAACTCTTGCTCATTTTTAAATTGGTTGCCAACATCTACCGTTTTCACAACAACATCTTTGACACAAAATGTTTGGGGAAAACATTGAAATGCACTATATCTAATGAAAACAATTACCACAAAACAGTAAATAAATGCTAATTCTGTAAACAGAGCTGAAAATGTGAACACAGAAAAATACCGAAAATGCATTTCCGAACGAGTTCATACTCGTTCCAGAAATTCATCTCCGGAATAAACACACGTTCTTTAGATAAAAAAACAAGATTAATGTGAGCAATGAGGCTTGAAATAAATAATTTTTACCTGAAATTTCAACTTCTTTTGCTTCCTTTGATGTGATAAACACAAGATTGAAGATTTAGAGTGAAAATATGGATCGAAAATAGAAGGATTTTTGGTGAGGGTTTTGAGTGGAAAACAATAATGGTTGTGTGATCATGCAACTCAGTGTTTTATCAACTTATTCCGAAGATACATCTCCAAAAATATCTAACTTGCAAAGTAGGGATGTAAATGGATATCCGTCGGGACGGATACTATGATATCCGTATCTGTTCCGTTGGATAAATATGATATTCATATCCGCCCCATATCCATGCAAATATCCATTAAATGAGTAATCCGTAGGTTGTACAGTATCCACGAATATTTATAAATATCCATGGATAATATTATTTTTTTGTAAAAAATATTTGTAACTTCTTTTATAGAAACAAAAAATTATTATCATATAACATCCATACAATTCGTTCTTAATTTAAGAATAAAATTTCATCACATTAATTTTCTTCTTATTCATAAAAATATAATTAGATCCAAACATAATGACGACACTAATTGGTTGGACTGTGAAATTGTTGAAGTGATGTATAAAATATTGAAGCGTTTAAACATAAAATGACTAATAAAATTTGAATGAAATGTGAAGGTTTTCTTCAAAGAAAATTTTAAAAAAAGAAAAATGTATATAAGAATACTTATTTTTGAAGATAAAAAGAAAAGATATAATAAACTAATAATATTTAACTCGTATTCATATCCATTAATAAACGAATATTTAAATATTCATTTATTTTATCCGTGGATATCCATTAAAATATCAATCTCATATCCGTGACAGATTTTATCTGTGGACATCCGCGGGTACGAATTTTTTTACCATCCATAATGTAAAAGTGACCGAAAATTTTAAAATTCCGTCTCAAACTTCTACCCATTTGTGTTATTTCTTATGAGAACCCACTCGTGTTATTCCTCCCGCACAAAATCACATTTCTGAATTATTATTAGTCCGTGAACTTAATATGCAGTTATCTCAATTATTATTAGTTCTTGAATTTAGGATGCAGTCAGTGAAATTTGAAATTAATAATCTTTTATATATTATTTACTCCTTTGTCACAAGAAGGAAGTTTATCCTTGTAATGTTAACCGAGGGCATATAACCAGAAAATTTATAAATGTGAACATAAATTAAACTACTAGAATGAAATATAATCAACTTTGAAACATAAACAACGGTAAATCCAACAATCCTGATGGCATGAGGTATGTACCATCTAAGCTTCGCTTAAAGATATTCTTCCTTCTACTTGCAATGAATGATCAATTTCTTTGCAACTAATTTAATCCCTGCATTCTGATGATAGTCATACAGATCTAAGGAGAAGACCGCATCAACAAATGTCCCGGGCTTGAACATGGCGCCAAGTTCTTCGGCGTCGAACTTGCTGAAGAGAAGTCTTTGCACAGATCCAGATGATTCTTTTTGGTATATTTCTGTTGCATAAATGGCAATCTCTTCGCATACTGCTGTAGGTATACTGTAATGTATATGTCACAAATATCAGAAATTATCATTTAGAGTAATCAAATAAATATATGTGAGTGTGCCAGTCAAGAACTTACTGCAATCTGATGGTAGGATAGTTGTAGAAGCCCTCTTTCCTGATAACAACTGGCCTCCAATCCGAGCCGCTACCAGATTCTGCGGCTAACTTATGTGCAACATTGTCGCATGCTTCAAGAACATTGCATAAACTTGGTGATGGATCAACCACAAAGCTTAACCGTGGCCGGCCAGCACTATCAACAAACTTTGTACTTATTCCAAACCGCACTTTCAAACCAGAACAATGAAGCTGAAATGGGAAACCATCATGAAGTAATTCTATCCTTTGACTGCCACGATAAGATGGAACAAGAGACACATCAATAGAAGAAATAGATATTTTTTCGGGCTCCAAAACAGCGATAGAGCTGCTGCTAGTCTGAAGCACAGAAAATGAGGTTGCAGAATCAGGTGATTGTATGGATGTTTCATTCATTGCAATATCTGCCCTAACGGATTCCCTATTAATTTCATCCTGAAGATCACGAAAGTCAAAGGAAGCTCCAACATTTGGGACATCCACTTCTGTGCTGCTTGTTGCAAGAGAAAGGATTGGATGATTTTTATCTGCAGTTTCCGGAGATGATACCGACACAGAATCCTTATTCATATTTAACAAACCCCCTTCTGACCAAGATTTCCCATTACTGCGACTTCTTGTAACAGCATTTGGTGAAACCCAACTATTTTCAGTGAATATATCTGGGAGACTCGACTCCTGTAAGGACAAAGAAATTATCATTATTTTTACTATACGTTCTCAATCTCAACTACTGTCAGAAAATACATTATCAGGGAGGAAAGTTTTGGATTAACAGAGTACAAATATTACAGAACAATCAATGTTGTTTCTGAATTTTACCAAAAAAAAAAAAGAGAAAAACACAACTGCATTCTAATAAGCACACATCAGGTTTAGAGACTCAATGTAACCACAAGTTTTTTTTTTCTGTAAAATTAATAAGAATGTTGATGAAGTGACACCAAGTTAACAAATAGTCTGGTTTTACATTTTACTTATGATTTGAGAAAGCAAAATATGTATCAACTAATACGAGTTGTTGCAGAAGCAATGGCTGAGTAGTTGCTTGCAAAGACTTAATAAAGACATTTAGAATTACAAATTACCAAGAATAGAACTGTTGCGCAGTATTTGAGAACTTCGAGATTCATCCGAACATCATCTAAGCTCCTGAAGATTCAAAGAAAAATATAAGCAAAAAGAAATTGAATATAGCAAATAAGGCAAGTGATATAACCTTCTACTGGCACAATTACCTGTGTGTCTGCTGCCCAAGACCAAAATAGGTAGCAAGAGTAGCCATCTGCAGTGAATAAAATTTCAAAATTGTAATTTACAATTTACAAATGCTGCCACAACCTAAATGAACTAAATCAACTCCTTCATGTTACCTTCATGTTACCAGCTCTTCTTCCAAACTTTTGAGTTAACAAAACCAAAGAATCAATCGTGCCTTTAGGTTCGGGCGGTGTTTGATTAATGGCAGCAAATGCATCTTTAACCCTAACACAGTCAAATCTTATGATATTATGACCCGCCCAAATCCTCCCTGCACAAAATTCACCACAAAGTCTAACATCAAAAACCCTAACATTTTGAGCCTAAATAAACACGTAAACGTATATGAAACGTTAAACGAACCGTGAAGAAGATCATAGACGGCGTGAGCGATGTCGGCGAATGAAGGAGCAGACGAAACAGCTTCGGCGTTGATTCCGTTACACCGCTCCGATAATGGAGTGATGAGAGAAAGATCAGCAGGTCTGACCAGGGTGGAGTAGTTTCGAAGCTCCGTCAGTCTTCTTGGACATACCAGAATTGCTCCGAATTCTAAAATTGCAAAACCCTGACCGGGTCGGGTCGGCACGGTGGTTTCTACATCGAAGAATACAATTTCGGAACGATCATCACTGAGAGGAGGTGGACCCATTTTCTTGAATTGAAGTTTCAGAAATACTCGTTTTAGAAATGATGTGTAGTTTAAGATTTATATATAGGCGCCAACGTATTTATAAGAATGGATGAGAAGATTCTAAGATGATAAGAGTGGGTTTGTTTTTGTCTTTGGGCTATTTAGGCCTACTGCACAAGTAACTACTAACCTGCCCAAGAGGTTGTTTGCAGATGCAAGCTTGGCATATACCCTTTTCATGAAATGGTGTTAGTTATGCTTTGCTTTGTGAAGCCACTTGCGGCACATTTGTTAGACTTACGTTGTTAGTTGTACTTAAAAGAGATACGATAATAGTTGATAATAGTTATGCAGAGACATTAGATAAAAATTTAAATTCGAATTCAATAGAAAAAATGGATAGAAAAGTGATTAAATGGTCTTTTAGGTTGAGTGCAGTTTACATCTATATGAATTTTTATTGTTGTTCTTTACTGTGCTTGTCTATATTATGAATGGAAGAGTCAACGTGGGAAAAATAAAAGAAATAAGGAAGAGATTCATTTTTAACCAAATACTATTATTCATTTTTTAGTCATAGATGCTAGAAATTTTTAGAAATGTTACGTTGGACAGTAAAAAGATCATGTGAGACTAGGAGAGATTTTATGCTTTAAATCTTAATTTTCTTCTACTTTAGTTTTTTGAAATAATATCTTAATTTTATTACTAAGGAATTGCTAATTTTTACTATAATTTTTATTTATTATTTTATTTATTTATTTATTTTATTATTATTATTATTATTATTATTATTATTATTATTATTATTATTATTATTATTATTATTATTATTATTATTATTATTATTATTATTATATTTATTATTTTATTTATTATTATTATTATTATTTTATTTATTATTATTATTTTATTTTATTTTATTATTATTATTTATTTATTTATTTATTTTGAATCAAAAAGAAGATTGAAATAATTCAAAAAAAGCAGTACAAGGACAAGGCGATCGCGAGGATCCTGCCCTCAGAAAAGACACAAAGACCAAATGAAAAGTACAAAAAACACTAATAAGTCATCAAGTGAGCAATGTGCGGCCTAAGTTTCTGGTTATACCACTCCCTATAAACAATCATATCTATAATATTATCACCAATTTTTGTCTTATCTATAACATTACTGTAACAAATGTCATTACGGTATTTCCATACACCATAAACAGTTTCCTTTATAGCTAGTTTCAGGAGGGATGCTCGCCAACCCTTACCGCTCGTACTCCTGCACACCCGGTCCATTTCTTCATCCCACGGTCGCGGGACATGCGGAATCTGGATCCAATCTAGGATTTTGTTCCAGATACACACCATTTCAGGACAGCATAATAAGAGATGATTAATAGATTCCTCCTCTTTAGAACAAAGACTACATCTATCATCGGTGATCATACCAAATCGGAAAAGGCGTTGTTTTGTAGCCAATCTTCCGTGACACGCAAACCACATAGTAATCAGAGCCCTTGGTCGACCAGCATTACTTCGCAGTATATTCTTCCACATTACTTTTGGGGCATTACTACAGATTACCATATAAATATCCTTCATCCTAAACTTGTTGCTAGTAAGCATGCGATCCCATACCTGTTGAATATCCACCAAGCTATCCCTCTGTTTTAGGATGGTCTTCATAATCCATGAGGTGTGGGGTTTGATACTGACATTCATCAATCCCTCATGCTTCAAATAATAACTATGAACCCATTTTACCCACAAGCTATCAGTTTTACTACTAAGATTCCAGAGCAGTTTAACCATGGTAATCTTATTCCAGATCTTAAGATCAATGATACCCAGGCCTCCATAATTCATAACCTATTAATTAGTTTGAATCACAATTCTTGATTCACAACCGCTCTTTGATTTATCCGAAGGAAAAGATCAAAAGAGGGAAAACCTATTTTTGCATCGTAAACACAATGCGGGGAGAGACCTAGGTAAGGGGTTAGTTAAGCTTAGGGAAGGTACTAGCACCCTAAACTTCTGTAGTACTCTACAGGAACCTTTTGTTTATTGTATGCTTTTTTTTATTTTTATTCATTATCTGCTTTAATATATATTGAGCTAATGGATAGAGTGACCTAAAGACCTTAGGGTTAGTCCTAAGTTTACTCGGCAAGATTCGCATCTTGTGCCTACGTATCCTGGATAGGGAATGGAATCAGAGTAATCGTAGTTCCCCTCGAAAGGGAGGTTAGAAACGTCTTGACTATGGTCAAGGTTTCAATGGGGAATAAACGTATCTTAAGGACACGCTTACGTGGAGTCTTTGAAACTCCTATTTCTATGTTGAATTTGTTAATTGAAAATTTAGGGTTGAAATTAGGGATTCCACTCTGGGAAACCCTAAACAGAGTACGGCGACTCTTTGACCTAATGCTAGGGTAAAGGGCATTTTCGTCCACGGCGGGACACCTAGGCTATTAGGGTTTTTGAAACGGTCAAAAATTAGGGTTATTGACTCGGTGGTCAAACGACTAGACCTAATTCCTTCGGAGGGATTCTAACGGCTAAACGTGCAAAATACGGCAAATTATTATACCGCAAGATTAAAGTGCGGAAAGTAAATAAAACGGTAAAGAAAGCGTCGCGACGATCACTCGCGTAAATTACAAATCCCCAAAAAATGCAAAATAAAATAAACCGCGACCATGGCCTCGCGTAAATTACATCCATGGAACAAAATACAAATATGATAATGAAATATTTAACTAATGATAAATGAAGTTAAACTCAATCAGCTGGAAAAAAAAAATCGGAGAATGTTAATAGGATTAGACAGAAATAAAGCGGATAATGAGATAGTGAAGAGAAAGTTACTAATTTGATATTGTTTTATTTCTTAAAAAAAGATTTCTGTTTTAACTTTGAAAAAAAAATGATTTTTGTCTTAATTAAAAAGAAAGAATTTTTGTTTTAAATTTAAAAAAAGTTTAATTTTAATCTTAGTTTTAAAAAAGATTTAGTTTAAAAAAAAAAAAGAATTTAATTCTAATTTTAAAAAATTGTTCTAGCCTAAATATTAAAAAAAGGTTTAGTGTTAAAAAAAAAAGAGTTGATTAGTAAAAGTTTAATTTAAAAAGATTAGTATTAATTTTCAAAAATGTTAACTTTTTTTGTTTAAAAGGAAAAGAAAAGGGTTAATTAACTTACGCTAATTAAAAAATAGTCTAAAAGAAGTTTGTCTTTTACTAAAAAAGCTGTTTTTGAGTTTTTTTATTCTAAAGAAGAGAACTGTGAAAGTTAATAAAAATATGTTTTTAATTAATAGCTATTCTCTTAATTATCTAAATAATTACTTACTAAACTCAAAATTTTAAAACGCTTCTCAATTTTAAAATTTTTTTAATTATGAGTTAATGAAACATGATTAACTAAAGTTATAACCTATTTACAAAACTAAACCCACTTAATTTTTTTTACTATTAATAATAATTAAAGAAATTTAAAACAGAAAAAGAAAAGAAAATAGCAACAAAAAAAATGAAAAAAAGAGACACATAAATAAAAAGGAGAGACAGTTGTCCGCTGATGGAACCGTGGGGTTTCATTTTTCCCTTTCTTTTTCTTGATGCATGTCTCAATCTTCTTCCTGAAACACAAATCACCAAACAAAAACCATGAGATTTCATAAACCCATACCTTTCGGCCGATTGGCGGTGATGAAATTTGATGGAGGTATTGATGCTCGTCCTCTAGCGATGATGAAGCTATCTTCCCTCTTCTGATAAATCGTGAGAACGGCCGCCGTTTTTCTCTTTTGTCTCCTTTCCTTTTTATCAAATGCAACTCATGTTTATATAGGTAACAAATTAGGGTTAAATCTAACCTAATGCCCACTTTAAAGCCCAACTTAAATAATTAGTCAAAGCAAAAAAACAAACTTAAATAAAAAGGAGAGACAGTTGTCCGCTGATGGAACCGTGGGGTTTCATTTTCCCCTTTCTTTTTCTTGATGCATGTCTCAATCTTCTTCCTGAAACACAAATCACAAACAAAAACCATGAGATTTCATAAACCCATACCTTTCGGCCGATTGGCGGTGATGAAATTTGATGGAGGTATTGATGCTCGTCCTCTAGCGATGATGAAGCTATCTTCCCTCTTCTGATAAATTGTGAGAACGGCCGCCGTTTTTCTCTTTTGTCTCCTTTCCTTTTTATCAAATGCAACTCATGTTTATATAGGTAACAAATTAGGGTTAACTCTAACCTAATGCCCACTTTAAAGCCCAACTTAAATAATTAGTCAAAGCAAAAAAACAAATTAAAACAAACTTAAAAGAATAAAATCTTTTCTAATATTTTTAATTTTATGATTTTTGGATGTTTTTATGAATAATATGGAAAATAGTGAAAAAATAATATTTTTAAAAAAATAATTTAAATAAAATACGAAAATAATAATTAAATAATAAAAAAACAATTTTTGTTATTTTTTTTTATGAAAATAGAAAAGTTTGAATAAAAATAAAAGAAACAAAACAAAAAGTGAAAAAGGTAGGATTCGAACTCTCGACCTTTCACACTCTCAACTCCTTACACATAGTCTCTTGCCAATTGTGCTATTTTATTCATTCAAAATAAAGTGGCACTAGAAACCCTGTAAACTAAAAGAGCGCGCCACATGATATTTTCTTGCAACAATCAAACAACTGCACCACCCGTTAGTGGTTAGTTTAAACGCAATGCACAATGAAATGGGATGCAAGATGAAACGACTAATCTTAGGGAAAATTTTGGGGTATTACAGTTGCCCCTATTTAAATAGGTTCACCGGATGATTTGAGCGACGAAGGCTCGAGAAATCATGGGGGAGGGATTTAAATATAGATAACCGAAAATTTTGCCCTTAGATGCAGTGATATGCAATGCTATGGATAAAACGGAAATAAACTATAATTCTGACAATGCCATGAATTTAGTATGGTGCGTATGATGGAATAGTAAATGCAGAGATGCAGACAAC